GTGTATAGATATGACATATATGCATATAAACCTCCAAGTAACTTTTTATTGTGAACAGAGATATAATTAATGTTTCTTCGCTGTTGAAAACACATACTAAACCCATTAGGATTGATGAAGGGAAGATAAGCAGGGAAAGGCAGTTTTGAACGCTGAAGGTCTGAATTCTAAAAAACTAAACATTGAAATAAGCTTAGCTTCATTGCTTTTAGATTCATGAACCCACCCTAATTAATCTAACAAAATATTAATATTATGAGATATTTGCCCAACTAGATATTCTTAAGGAAGGGCTGATTTAATAAAACCGATTTTTTAAAAAGTGGAAATTATAAATTGTTTAAGTGTAAATAGGTCCTCTGGATATTTATCTTCTGTCTCGTTTCCGCTATTAAGATGTTCAGCCAATCTTTTGTCTAGGGGTGGTACAGGAAGAAACAGCCTGGTCTGACGTGTCACAAACTAGTCAGGTTCTAATTAGTGAGACTTCACTGTATTTTGGAAAATTTTTCATTTACTTAAAACACTTTTTTCTTCTCTAATCTGAAACCCACAGCAAGAAGTGTGGTTATGTCTACTAAGAACAAGCAGCAAGCTGTGTGGGAAGGAGAGGCACTCATTCTTCTCTGCAAGGTGGGTGGACCTGAAAGTCCTCTGGCTGTGAACTGGTCGCACATCCCACAGGACCAGACGCAGCCTGAGTTTGTGGCTGGCATGGGGCAGGATGGCATTGTGCAGCTGGGTGCTTCCGATGGGCGAGCCAGTTACCATGGCAACATAAGGCTGGAGAAAGTGGACTGGGCCACCTTCCGAATGGAGATCACCTCCACCACCCTCACAGACAGTGGCACGTACGAGTGCAGAGTGTCTCAGAGGACCCGGAACAAGGCCAGAGACCTGAGCTGGACTCAGAAGATTTCAGTCGCTATAAAATCTCTGGGTAAGTGTCAAAGAAATCCTTTTCTGAACCTGCATGTCAGTCACTTCATTCTGCAGCCGAATGCAGTGGAATTTGATTGTGTGTCATCGTGAATCCCTCAGTGATGGTGTGTGTACCATACCATACCACGACGCAGAGCACAGTCTCTGGCCACCATGTCTGTCAATTAATCTTTAAAGTTTATTCATCTTTATAAAGATCAGCTTTAGAGTGCAACTTGTAAGTTTTAGTTCAAGGTTAGAAACAAACTCCTATGAATTGGAGTCGACATATAGAAGAGCGTAGCTGAGCCTTATACATTCTGGCTTTGAACAGCTGCGGCCCTGGGATTGCAGAGCCTCTTCCAGCACATTCGGAAGGGTTCTGATACTGAACCCAGGAGGGGGAGTAAAGGAAGGAGGCCAGACAACCGGGTCTGGGGAGTGTTCCACCCACTCAGCAGCAGCTGTCTCGGCAGCAGACTGGAGAAACACTGCCTATTTGTTGTCGCTGCTGAGAACAGTCTTAGAAGAGGGTCAACTTTGCAAAATTGAGGTCAGAATTCAGGACAGATTGTACTGTGAATCAACTTCAATCCCAAAAATATATAATACTCCAAATGTGCAAATGCATGGTCCTAAGAGAAAAGGTGATAACTAGAAAAACTTGAAAGTGCTGTACTTTGATTTGGTAAAGATATTAGAAATTGGGTTTCATTTTTCTGTCTACAGAGTCCAGTTTACAAGTTAGTCTGATGAGCCGTCAACCACAAGTGAAGTTAGCCAACACCTTTGACCTGTCCTGCATAGTAAGGGCCGGCTACTCTGACCTCAAGCTGCCACTCACTGTGACATGGCAGTTCCAGCCAGCTGGAGCACAAGACTTTTATCAGCTTATTCGGATCACCCATAATGGCACTATTGAATGGGGGGATTTCCTATCCCAGTTCCAAAAGAAGACGAAGGTTTCACAGTCTTCATTTCATTCTAAACTCCTAATCCATGATGCCACCGAGGAAGAGACAGGAGTGTATCGGTGTAAAGCAGAAGTTTATGACAGAAATTCCCTACACACCAATGGCCCTGCAAGGGCTTCTGTCATCTCTCACCCATTGAAAATAGCCATCACTTTACCAGGTAAGCATCACTTGAAATTCATCCCTGATTTTTTAAATAAAACAAAACAAAATTACATTCCTCCCATTTTGGGTAAATTATAGAAATTAAGCATAAATACTTCCTTCTTATGTTTGCACTGGATAAGTAAGCACCACTCGATGCGTGATGTCCGGGCTCACATTAGGTCAGCATGCACAGATGGCCGTACTTGTAGTGAAAACATCGAAATACTTCCACTCTGGCTAATACCTCCTGCTCCATGCTCCTGCCCCTGCCCCATTTTCCCGTGGGTTTCCACCACCCAGCAACTCAAGGATACCACGTGGCACAGCAGGGGACCTCTAGGACCTGGTCGCAGTGGAGAGGCAATCTTTCGGATTGGTCACAGCCCAGGCCTTACCAGTTATTAAACATTTGCAAGGTCTCTCCTAGGGGTAGAGATAACGTAAATTCCGTTAGAATACATTTATCTGCTTTTTTTAATGGGTTACTATATGAGTCAGAGAACTTATGATTCTAGTCAAATATAATCTACCTCATCAATTGGTAACAAAGCACAGAGGTTAAAAATGAGGTAAAGTCCTGCTGTCATGTGTCTCTTATAACTTCTATTCTCTTACGACAGAGTGATGAGAGACTTGGAAGTCACTTAGATCTGACGATCACTGGATAGCAGCGTGACTTTGGACAGGCCACTTAATCTGTCCAAGCCTTAGTTACCTCATCTGTAAATTGCTAATGTGCAGTTTAAATGCGGTGACATATGTGATGTGCCCAGGGCAGTGCCTGACACACCAAGCAGATGCTCAAACATGATAGTGGTCATCGTTCTCCCTGCTGCTGAGCAATATCTTTGGTAATAGTGGTGATCTCCTTGTTTCATTAATTCAGGCCTGAATTTACTTGTTCTCTCTGCAGTACTTGCACTGGTTTCCCCAATTCCTTCTTCTTGAAACTTCTTTTTTCCTTGGCCCTGTGACACAAGATTTTCTTAGTTTCCTTCCTAAAACCGACGACTCCTTTTCGTCTGTTTTTGCAGAATTCTCCTCCTCCATTGATTCTTTTTTTTTTTTTTTCAGGGTATTATGAGGGTACAAACATTATGGTTACATTTTATGTCTTTGCCTCACCCAAGCAAGGGTTAGAGGCATGCTGTTCCCCTCTACAATGCTCCCCGTGTCCTTTAGTTGCGGGTTTACCC